CAACACAATCTATGTGTCAGTCATGAACCTCTCGACTTTGAGTTGAAGCCACACATGTACAATCATGCCGGTTTCTACTGTCATTTTAATGATATTCCGCCAAAGCTCAGACACATACAGATATACAAAGGGAGACATTTAAACAGTTTGAAAACTTTGAATGGTTTGCCAGTATTCTCTGAGTGGTGACACCTATCCTTCAGGAGAATACCTCAGCGGCCTCCTATGCCTTAACGGCAGGTTTAAATAGAAGTGACTGTGATACAATGTTGTGGTGGAAAGCGACCATTACGGTGGGTAAACTGGGGCCTTTAGGCAGCTTTCTGGAATTTCTGTCAGTATATTCAGGAATAGTTCTTCAGGCTTCTCAAAGGATATCCAGAGCTCTTTGGATGTCTCTGCCTTTAAATGATCCCACGCTGCTCAAATGTTGAGGGCCGGGCTCTGGGGAAACCAATCCATGACTGATAGAAAGACACACAATGGAGCACTATTCAGATATGCTTTTACTGCACTGGCAGTGTATCATTGTGTCATCATGCTGCAAAATAAAGCTGCTGCCAATCAAATGCTTTCCGAGGGTATTGCATGATGGATGGATAGAATTTTCATCGGCTTCAGTGAACAGTAGATGGATCAGATCACCTCTCGGTCTGGTTTCAGTTCTCTGCAGGATTTGTCCTCTTTCATAAAAACATGACTTTCAGATACTGTTCATCAGCTGTAGATAGTATTTCAAGCCTGCCACTTCTTTTGTCCCCCACTTGTCCAGTTTCCTAAAACTTCATAGAGCGCATTGAAAACCAAAGTGCTTCACAATCAATAATAAAATCAAATAAAAAGGGTTCCTAAAATTCACACCATTTAGATAAAATAACACACCGAGGATCTGTTGTCCAAACACAACAACCAAAGATCAGCAAAACTGACTGCTTTCAGCTCAGGTTTAAAGTCTGAGACGATTCCACAGTCTTGTTGCAACGACAGCAAAAGCACTTCAACAGTGGGCTGGTCAAAAGTCACCGAGAAGCAGATAAGGCAGGTTTTCAGCTAATTTAGAACAAAAATTCTATTTTATGCCTACTAACCTGTGTTATGCGTCAGAACTGGTTCATCCCTTTCATGCTTGAATGATTCATAAGGCAGTATTAAGTGGTTCAAAAAACAGAAACATATTCCTCTGGAAATGGTCCGGCACAATGAAAAAGCAGTGAAAAAGCAGTGAAAAAGCAGCCAATGTCCAAAGAAAAGCTTTGAAAGACATTCAGAAAGCCTGGAGAAATATTACACAAGACCACAAAGACGTTTGGCTCCCTGGAAGCAAAACACAAAGAAATGATGGTGGCTTGAGTCTTTGCACAATACTGTATCCTTTACAGATACTGCCCCGATATCTGTAAATGAATTTACAGGTAACGGCCTATTAGGAAGAGTCTTTGAAAACTGTGTGTGCTGTATGAGATATTTAACCAGAGGAATATGCTGGTATTATACAAAAGGAGGATTATTGTGGAATAAAGGTGGACCTCTGTTCACAGCCCAGTTTATTTTCCCCTGTTAGCAGACCAGCATCCACAGTTTTTAAGATATCAAGCTCAATTTAGTCCATTGGTACCAATAACAGCTCGAGTTTAATTTAGGTTAAAATCAGTAAGAAATTGATATTACCCACAATTCTTTATGGATCGACATCAAACACAGCAATATATGTGGCCTTTGGGGATATGAATACCTAGGCTGACTAAGAATTTGACCCTGACCTTCACTGATAGCACCCAAGATGAGGTGACCTTACAAAGACATTTCAAGAAACCATATTGAGTAATATATCATATAAAAGGGCATGGAGAGCGCTATGCAACACACCTGTCATTATGGTACCCTACAACATCACAGTGAAGCCATAAAGTTTGAATATACCTTAAAATTTCAAGTTTTTACAGCTTATAAAAGTCAAAGATTTCAGCCAGTTGGGCAAAGAAAATAAAATGCAATATTTTAGTACGTAATGCATGTTGTATAAGTGCTTTCAGTGTTCAGAGGGAGTAGAAAAGCACTATATAAGAACCAGTCCATTAAACAAAAGCAGGTTGATGTCAGCATGTTTTAATACAAAAAAAACCCCCCAAAACAATTCAAAATGTTTTGGAGGTGTCGCTGGGACCAGGATAACAGGGGTTTAAAAGTTTTATTCTGTTAGTGTGCAGTTTAGCTCATGCA